GTACGATTGCCTAGGGGGAAAAAAAAAAGACCAATTGTTTAAGTGTAATCCCGGAAGGCAGCATACCTTGGCTCCTGCTTTTGTGTCCATTCTCACATACCATATGATTGGCTTAGTTTGCCATTCGTGTTTGTTTGCGATGGGGGTCTCGTATTGCTTCAGGCAATCCTTGAACATTTCAGGCACCGGGAGGTGACCTCTAACTGATCCTGCTGCCTGAAGCTGAGTGCCAGGAGTACAGACATGTGCCACCACACTGGCTTAGGAAGTGCTGCATTCTTGTTGGGCAAGCACCCCAGCTGAGACACACCCCCACCTCTCATTGATGGATTTTCTGTTTGATCTGTTTGCTTTTTATTCTTTCCTACCCCAGTGTTTTTGGTTTTGTTTTTAATAATTTTGAAAGATTCTGGTTGTGATAACTGTATGCTATTTTGGTGGTTTGGGGATTTGTAATCCACATCCTTAAGCTCTGAGAATCCACACGGACTCCGTGTTGTTGCGCCATGCCACAGTGCTGCGTTGAGGCCCATACACTATGCCTGCCCCGGGCCTACCCTTTGCGTTCTCTCCCCTTTCACCTCATCATATACACTGTGCTCTTCTCATTTCTTTTGAGAAAGGCTTACTTTTGTTCTTTACATTCTCTTGCTCTGGAGCTTCCATTGTTAGGATGCTAACCAGTGGAGCTATGAGACACTGCGCTTACTTTTGTTCTTTATCCTCTTGCTCTGGAGCTTCCATTGTTAGGATGCTAACCAGTGGAGCTATGAGGAGGTTAGTGACTGTATTGTGTAAACAGTTGAACTCAGCATGCTTGTGCTGCCATAGGCCAAAGTGCAGTAAAGCTGTCCAAGACAAAAGTACCAATAACTGGAAGGATGAAGTTGTCCTTTACGACGTGATCGAGTGACTGTCTAGTAGAAGGTCGTAACACTGACTTCTAACAAGGTGGTATTTTCCAGAGGGCAGACATTCTGAATTATCACTACAAGGCAGTTAAGTGTATAAGGCATTTACAAAGTATTTTACAAGGAAGGTCAACCTAGGGGCTCTCCTCATAAAACAAACCCCCTAACTTTCTCCCTCTCCTCTCTTTTGTGTCTTCTTGTGGGATGTCTTGCCTCTTGATGAGGCTCAAAATGAGGTTAGATTTGGCAGGTGGAGCTTAGGCATTTTTAAGCACATTGGGGGAGGGGGGTAACTTAGTTTAGAGCCACTTGGATGTCAGGGCTGTACTAGAGTTAGAAAGGAAAAGAGAAACAGTTGGGATTTTAGTTCTAGAAGAGAATGTTGACGCCGAGCTATTTGAAGAGGGCTGAATTGAGAAGGGGAATTCCCTAGTGTGGTTGAGCAACTCCAGGATTCAGGATGGCATGGGAGGGAATGCCATTTTGAGAGCCTTTGGAGAAAAGCGTTTGAAACAAGAGGACAGAATCAGTTATCTGAGTTCAGGAGAGTTCTCTGAGACAGATTGTGTTCTGTTAAACACTACTTAATAGAGAGGTCCAACTGAGGGTACTCAGAAGGGACTGGGCGAGCATCCAAGCCACCCATTAGGGCAGAGCCTGAGACTGAAACCAGGGGTGCTCCCGGCCATGTGTGCTTAGGCAGTGGTGCTGGTGTTTTGAGTAGCTCAGGCTTCCTTTCTGTTTTGCACTTGAGGTGAAGCAAACTTAGCAAGGAAATGGCAGGGTGGAGAGCAGGGCATATGGAGAAGGAGGCCCTGCCTTGGCCTCTGATGACCATGCAGGCAGAACCACTGTGATTAACACTCTTGAGAAGAAATAAGATGGAGGAAGAACATAAATACCAGCCTGCAACCCACTATTCTCCCTCACAGAAAATAACTGACGAGCCCCAAACCAAACTTTTGAAACCGAAACATGGTACTAGGTAGAGCTGTTTGGAAATGCATAGTGGACGTGTCTTGGTGCTCAGTGAGCAGCTGTGTGGCTGATCTGGAAGTCTTGGGAACACCTTGTCATCCTCATTCCACAGAAGAGGCAGAGAATCTTTGCTATTCACGGGGTGGGGCAGAAAGTGTGCCCCTCCCCCATGCTATAGTCGTTAAGTCATAACGGTTCATCCCTGTGTGTGGTAAATAATGCTGACATGTCACAGAATAATGAGAAGCACGTGGATCATGGCTGCTTTTAGCCAGAACTTCTCAAGATTTATTTAGGTCCTTAATTATAGAGAGGCTTGGAGGCCTGGCATATGGCTTCAGTTTATAGTTATAAATGGTGGCCTTAGGGCTGAATGTTTGTAGAGTTGCCATGGAGGAAGAGGAGTGCATCCAGAAAAGAGGTTGTATTCTTTGGGGCATTCTTTTGGTCATTAGGGGGAAAGGGAGTAGGGGAGAGCTCTGTGTCTGTAAGAGATAAGTGAGAGCATTATTCTGTCTTGAGGTAGGCGTGTCAGGGTAAGGCAGCTTTCTTCGTGCTCAAGTATTTCAGTAAAGTTTCAGGTCCCTAGAGTCTTAGAAGAACAACTGCCCCTTTTAGTTTTTATCTTATGCTAAAATTACATCTTCCGTTAGGTGAATCGGCTCCCAAAGTGGTTAAATAAGGTTGATTTTTCTGTATCTGTGGATTCGAACAGGCTTGGATCAAAACTACCAGGGAAACACATTACAGCTGCACCGAACGTGTGTAGACTTCTCCCTTCATTATTCCGCACACAGTATTGTTACAGCTATTTGTAGCACTAGCATTGCAGGAAGCATTGTAGTCACCTAGAGATGCTTTAAAATATTGTGGTAGATGTGCAGGGGTTATTTGGATACACGCATCGTCTTATAGAAGGGCTTGAACATCTACCATTTGGGTGGTCAGGGAGAGTCAGGAAGAGGAGTGACAGGTGATGCTGGGAGAAAAGTCTTCGTAGACACGGAGGGATAATTATATTTTTATGTGGCAGAAAGAAAAAAAAAGGAAGTATTCAGCTTAGGTGTGTTGTCCTGCTGAAGCACCAACAGAGGCCCGTATTCAACAGTCCATGAAGAGCTGAGTAAATCTCTGTGTGGTTGGAGAGCTTCATTTGTAGTCACTGTAGTGTGCTTTCTACTCATCAAGGTGATGATGAGTCTGACGTCTCTGTTGTCCGGAAGTTGGAGGTTTAGGCGGGAGGCAGGCTGGTGAGAAACTCTAGGCAATGCTTTTCTTCTTCCTTTCATGGAGAGAGTAGGTTTCTAGGTATTTATTATCCTTTATGGAGCTCACTCACTCCAGGACTGACATTGCCCTTGTTTGATAAATTGCATGCATGCATTCCTTCCTTCATTGGTTGTGTTACATCTTAGATTTAAAGCTGCGTGCATGACACAAGGAGTCATTGGCTAAAAAGCCTCTACCATGCAGGAGCTTATTTTGTGGGAGGGGATAACAACTTGTGCTCGTAGCCAACTATGTCACAGAAAGCTGTTCTGGCATCTCTCCAGGGTCCGATACTGCTAAAACTGCGTGAACCTATACTGTATCTGAGCTTCCGTGTCCCAGTCTGCCTGCCTCCAGCTTGCTTTCTCCATGCTTCCTTGTCACACTGTGACCCAGCCTAGAGGCACTATACGCTGGAGTAGGATCAGTTCTGGCTCTGTCATTTCATCCTGGCAGTACGAAGGTACATCCTTGCTTGTGCCAGCCTTGTGAGATTTAAAATGAGTAAACAGAAATGGATTGTGGAAAATTCTACTACATGGAACTAACTGTTCCATTCCCATGTATAGTCCTGCACATGACTCCTAGCATATCTTTTGCTCTTAGTTTGAACCCTATGTAGCCCCCTCCCAATTCCCTTGCCTTATGGCTTCCAGCATTGTGGAACTGCTTGGACACCCTGTGTTTGCCTGCTTCTGTGGTAGTCTGGCCTTTGCTTATGCACCGAAGCTCTTTGCCTTGCAAATTCATTCTTTGGAAGTAACTCCCCACCTTTTGAAATTTCTCTACATCCAATGCCTTCCTCTCTCTTGGGGTCCCTGTCTTGCTCTGCAAGCTTTCCACATTATCACTGGGATTGAGCTGTTCCTGTGTGCCTCTTCTCTGCCTTCAGCTAAGAACTCACAAAAGAGAATGAATATTATTTTATGTCCTCAGCATGTTCTTGACATAACATACACTCAACTTTCAGTAAATGACTGGTCAACAAATGAGAAGCAGGAACTTGGCAAAAATATTTACCATATTGTCCAGAATATTTTCATTGTTTTCAATGATTAAAAAAGGGAGGACATTTACCTTATTAGTACAACTCAAGGAGGGGCAGACCAACTGGAGGACTAGCCTGGCTGTCTTAGTAGGGAAGTTCTGTCTTTGTAAGGTAGGATGAGAAACTAGGGAATCCCACAGGCGACGGGAACCAAAGTGAACTCCATGGTATCCAGCGGCCCTTAAGTTCCATCTTTCTCGTGAAGGCCATTGCGCTGTATTTAGCTTCATAGTAATAAAAACTATGTGATACTTGATAGTGTTTCTTTAATCTTTGGAAAAAGTTTTCTTTTCCTTTATTATATTGAGGCTTCCATAAGATGATAATGGCTTCCTCATTATATGGAAATGCTGGAATATTGCCCTGAACAAAACAGTATCAATATTGTCCAGTTATGGACATGCAGTGTAACATTTTCTCTTTGGTTCTCTGAATTGGTTAAGTTTTGATAGAAAGACAGACAGACAGACAGGCCGACAGACACACACACACACACACACACACACACACACACACACACACACACGCGTGAGGGTTAAATAAAACTTAATTTTAAACTGCAATAAGTCAGTGTCATTTGTGTAGGAGAGAATGCATGGAGAAAGGTAAATAGGTCAGAGAGGATGGATATGGTGATTTGTATATTTTAAAAATCGGGAAGAAATAAGATGTGACAATTTCCTTGTCCTTTGAGGCAAATCACAGAGGCCCCTAAAGAACCCAGAGTTACCTGATAGGCACACACCAACTAGCTGAATTCTAAAGCTTTCCCCCCCACATCTTTTTTCTTGCAGCTTTGCTTTGTCGGATGAAGCGTACAGATCCCTCCGTGATCAAGATAAAGACCAGTGCATACTCATTACTGGAGAAAGTGGAGCAGGAAAAACAGGTGAGGCCACCACCTAAGGAACTGACCTTTCCCTCTGTGGAAGGCAAATGCTGCTGGATGACAGTGGTAAAGAAGGCAGGTGACCCTTGGGAGCCAGGTGGCCACAGCTGCTGTGCAGGAGCTTGATGCCCTCCGTTGGTGTTGTGTGCACAGCACATCTCTCATATGAGGGGGACAAGGCACCATCAGGGTGCCAGCCAGAGTAGGTCTTAGCACTGGATTCTGGTTCTTATTGGCACCATCTTTGGCTCCATCATTGTCTTTGTCTTACCTTGGCTGTGTGGCCCTAGGGAGTTGACCCTTCCCAATGGGATGCCAATTTATTCTAATCTGTGGCAGTTACAACCATACCTGGCCTCTGCTAGAAAGGGAGGGAAGGTAGCAGCAATGCTTGGTTTCATTCTAGAGCTTCTTCTTACCTAAAGATTTGAGATGTTGTCTGATGTCTGCAAGGTCAGGCTGTGCTTTTTTTCTTGTGCTTATGTCACTGACCTTGTCCTGAATAAGGAAATGGTTTTATACTGTTTTTTGTTTGTTTGTTTGTTTTTATAAAAACAGAAGGGCAAAAGGGGGATTTTCATGTTTCCCTGTAAAATGTACACAGATGAGAATCTCATAATTGGCTGTCATTTTGAGTATGCAGAAGTGTGGTTTTAAGTGTTTCCACCTTGCATGTTATTTCACTTTTGGGGTGATCAAGCAGAATAATTGTAGTTGGCACTGTCACTTTTTTGAGCCACATCTTTTCAAGCCAGTGTTTATTTATTTTGAGCCAGTCTCATGTACATTAGGCTACTCTTGGACAACATGCTGATGGTCCTGAACTCCAGATTTCTCCTGCCTCTGGTTCCCAAGTGCTAGGAGTGCTAGGATTGCAATGTTCAGTACCACACCTGGCTTCAAGCTAGTGTCAATGGACAAGATTACTTCAAACCTATGGGCAGAATCTTTTACTTCAAAACAAAACAAAACAATCCACATCATTTTTGTTGTTGTTTGGTTGAACCTTTTGAGGAACTGCCAGACCCTTGTTTTGCCCTCTCTTAGAATTACTGTCTTCCTTGGGTGATTGCAGCAGTAGTTATTCTATACTGAGTATTTAGGATGTGTTACCAGTTTTTATTATGGGGAAATTGAGACACAAAATGGTTCAGCAGTTTTCCTAAATGTCTTAGTTGCATTTACTGTTGCTATGATAAAAATACCTTAACAAAACACTCAAGGGAGGAAGAGCTTATTTTAGCTGACAATTGCAGGTTATAGTTCATCATAGTGGGAAGCCCCAGCAGCTTGAGAGAACTGGTTACATTCTATCTTCAGTCAACAGCAGAGAGGAATGAATAAATGAATTCATGTCTGTGTTCAGCTCAGTTCTCCACTCATACAGTTCAGGATCCCTTGCTTAGGGAATGGTGCCACCCACAGTGGGCAGGCCTTCCTACCCCAATTAACTTAAGACAGTGCCCCAGAGAATGAATGTATATCCCACCAACCTGCTCTAGACAGTCTCTTTAACTGGGTGAGTCTACACTGTATCAAATTAACAAAACTAACCACTACACTGAATGTACACAGCAAGTTGCAGGAGGGCTAGGATTTTCAATGTGGGTGGTACAATTCTAGAGTTTTGGCTTCCATACCTTATCTTTTTTAAAACCTGAATCTTTGTGTCTTGAAGATGCTTCTTTTTGAGCACTGTACTAATACTGCCCCTTTGGTAAGTCCCCTTCACCTGGTCTCTGAAGTTTTTCTAGGGGAGGGTTTTGTTTTGTGTCTATATTAGTTAGAGGATTGATTGAATCAGAGGAACTAGCCTCATGTCTGTATTTCAGTATTTGGCCAAAGGACCAGTTCTCCTAGAAATTGCCCAGAGTAACTATTTTAGTTATTTAGAAGGTCTGTTAATTGATTGTTTTTGCTTAGTCTTTTTCTTTATCCCTCTATAATCTCTCCTTAGGTTGTTTCCAATTCTCTCTGATTATGCTAATGTCTTCTGCATTTTTATTCTCATCTAGTATTTCTTGTTTGATCTTTGAAACTAATATACCTGCCTGATCTGTGCACCTGACCATTCCCGATACATCTCAAGCTAACCACACATAGGGCAGATTTGATTTTTCTTTTCTTCTAGCAAATTAGACCAGCATTATATCATAATCTTGTTATAAAATAGCTACACCTGTTGGTAATTTTGGCTCTGTTTTCTCCTGTATCTTACACCCAGGTCCATGTCTAATCCCATAAGTTCTCTCTGGAATCTATTGGTCTTCCCTTTCTTTTTGTTTACATGGTCTAAGCCCTGCAGAGTCTTGCCCCCTTCTTGTGTACTCTCTTTTATAGACATTGGTTTTTTTCTTTCTTTCTTTCTTTCTTTCTTTTTTTTTTTTTTTTTTTTTTTTTTGGCTGTTCACGAAACATTTTTGACTGCTCCAAGGCACTAACTTTGTTTCATGTGAAAGAAGTTACAAGTAAAGAGTGAATCATTCCCTGAGGTGACCCTGTGGTGTTAAAGTTGTCACAGTCACCATATCCACTGGCCGTCCTGAAGAGACAGGGTGGTGGTGAGCAACACAATCTAGAGTGTTGGTGTGCTTGATTGCTTATTTTTAGCTTTAGAAGCATAAGATATTTTCATTCCACATGCTGGCTTCTTTTTTTGTTTACTGTATGGGAGGTGAGGCAGGCCTTACCTGCAGGGATCTGTGTTCTTGCTGTATTCCGTGCCTCTCCCTCACCATGGCCTTTTTGATTATGTTCAGCAGCCCACCTGTTCACTTCTTAAAGCTCCTTTTCTGCTTCCCTTGGAAGAAATCTTTTATTCCATCTCTTCGTGACTAATGGTGTGTGTGTGTGTGTGTGTGTGTGTGTGTGTGTGTGTGTGTGTGTGTGTGTGTATGTGTTAGGCATTCGGACTATATCAGTTTGTTCCTAAGTGAGTCATTAAAAATAGACTTCAGTCACATTGATTGGCCCTGGCCAGTTCTTCACCTCCTGTGGAGCATATGTTCCCAGAAGTCAGCAGTCGCCTATTTAGCCCCGGTAATGTAGGGCATCCTTCTCAGAACTCTAACTTTGCCACCTGTTCCCGGAGCCAGTCTGTCTCTCGGTAGGGTTGTGACTCTTTCTTACTGAGACACAAAATGGGGGCGGATGATGCCACTTCATCCATAGGTTTGGTAGTCACCCTTTCTGAGAGGTTCCTCCTTGGTTGTGTGTGGTTTTCTGATCAGCACCTGCCACCTGGTTTCATGGCCTCGATCAGCACCGGTAGTCCTTTGGTCCTTGTCTGCTCTCCTGGATGGACTCCTTCCTCAGGTGCTGGAAACAGAGTGTGTCTTTGTAGGACTGCCACGTTTGCTGCAGACAACATGGTGCTGCTCTAGCCGTAAGCTGGAGGGGCTCTCAGAGG